GTTGCTACTTCTGTTTAAACACCAGGAATTACCAATTCTCTCTCCTGCAAATTCATGTTTAATTTTGCACAATAATATCTCTGCAGTATTTACTGATAACTCCATCTTGATCAGTAGGACCGTTGGCTCCGCTTGCTGAGGCCTCGGGTGACTGAACTCACAAGTGTGCCATTATTTACACTTGTGTCCATCTGCTGACCTTACTTCAAGACTTGCCCGTAATTGTTGGTGTTTGTGCCAATGGTTAAAAATAAACTGGAACGTTGACTCTGAGGGTTTAGACGCTGATATTGGCATGGTATTTCACGTTCTGATGACGCTGGATTATCCTACTTAAGAAATCGCAACAACTGAGATGCCAGCGTCATGGTAGCTGGTCTTATTTCCAAGCTACAGGATTTTTCATACAGGGAACACGATGAGCAAGGAAACATTTAATTAGGGTAGAGATCCGAGGATGCACCGAAGCTGTGTAACCTGAGAAACATGGTCTTTTTTACAAAGTGGTAAGAAAAATTAACGGCCGGTGTAATGGCGACAAACAAGATTCCACAAAACGCGCACTTCGACAAGTGCTGAGTGAACAGAGATTATCCCGTACAATCTGGTGACGCCGGCGTTAAAATGCAGGATAATAATCTCAAAGATTGAGTGCCACGTTTCCTAAAGGTGCAATGAGCCCTAAATAAGCTCAGTGGTGATGAACTCGAGCTGATCTCTACAAGCAATGAATGACAAGATTCCACATTGCCATTTACTCGGTAAATGGCCAAACGCAGGGGAATCATAATAGACCGCGAAAGTGGGACATGAAGAAAAACCGTACATTTCGCATGTTTCTACGCTTGATTCAACATACCACACGCGTCGTTGAAAGTATACATCTATTAGTGAGTAATTAATAACTAATGCAAGACTTCTTGGTAGCGCTGTGTTGAGTTCAGTCCGTTTGAACATCTCCTCTGGCAGTAAATCCATCGCACACAACTGGGGAAAGAATAAGAGGATATGGACGGTAGCCAAGTTGACAGCATTTTTGTATCCTGGAAAGTGGAAATGACAATCAGGCAAACCAATGTTACTGCATACTAGAAGATAGGGTCGTGTCGCAGCTTCCAATTATTATCTACACTGTTTGCTCTACAAAGATTTGGGTTGGACGTACACGTGTAGTAACGCATATATGTGAAAACGGACAAAACCGCAATGGGATCTGCCCAAATAGCTATCGGATTTGCGAGACCACTGGAATCAGAACTAGCGAAGAAATATCACACATGTGAGTAGTGGCTAATCCGGCCTCCCTTCATGTGCAATGTCTCAATTGACGTATCCTTTCACTGGGCATACAAGTGAAGCAATAACTTAGCCATTCCGAGAAAATACATGGAGTTGAAAACAATTCTTTGGTAATCGGATGGACTTTGCCTAATTCCACTCTTAATGCTCAGTTACCGTGCCAAACCGGTTACCCAGAATGTTGGTCAGCAAAATGTATCGTTGTTCAGATGTGGGCTCACACTCACTTGACAGAAAGGCCCGCGATACTCGCACACGTTCAACTTCCCAGAGCAGTGTGATTTCCAGATGACAAATGATAGAAATACTCTTGAATTTAGATCTCGTTCCTTCTCAGATCCTGGATCCCGACTTCGGCTGTACAAATAATACCTGCTACTCACCTTTTTATACTGCTCCAATGTGTGAACAAGCATGCGAAAGTCCAACAATAAATCTGTGAGCTAATAAACACCGATTTAACAGAAGACTAGTTGGACGCCCCACAATAGTGACAGAGTGAGCGCCGTACTTTCCTTAGACGTCAACCCATATAGTTGCGAAGAGTGCTATTATACCAGTTATTTTTCCGTTCGGAATCATACACGACTGTGCGCACCCCACAGGAGTAAAAATGCGTTACATAGACTAGCAGATATTCCATAAGTCATGTAACTTGCAAGATCTAATTTCAAAGAGGAAAAAGAATAAGCGAAAATTTATCTTTGTTTACTCCAAGGTCCAGGAACAAATTGCCCCAAAATGTCAGGAAGTGCGGGAAAATAGTGTTTAAAATCTCTGTCACGAAATATAGCACGGTGTAGAGCATCATAGTATCTATCATACGGACAGCACAGCCTTTAGGAACGGTATCAGAAAATGGTATCGACATCGCATAGGCATAAACCGGCTGTTTAGAGCATCCTGTTACTGCTGGTCAAAATGAGTTGCTCCAAATTGGACAGGATGAAATAATCCCACTGACAAATTTTGTCACACAGCATTTTTACATTGCAATTTGCACGTGTTCATCGACGAGGTAAAGGTCCAAGTAATTCAATGCTGAACAACTATAACAGGGAAATGACAAAAGAAGCCTTACTGAATGCGTTACAATAAGATGAGAAACCCATCGCCCACAGGTTCTACTAAACATACGCAGCGGCGTCTTCACTCAATACAATGAACGTGTGATATGAGATGAGCTTAGCATATGTTTCAATAAGGTACCGCACACAACTACCTGCACACATTCGAATGCCTCAAGCTGGAGTGATTTCGCTTCAAGTTTTTTTGCATGACCACCTGTGAAATGCAACTGTATCTATTAACCTGTCCGTATACGGGAACAATTCGTCCCATTTTTCAAAAGTGAATCTTTATTTAGTTAATCTTTCAATATTCATGGAATCATGAAGTAGCCACTAATGTTTCGCCACATTGCTGTTAACCATGGATATGCATTTAATATGACTGTTTTCCGGTTTGAGTTTCAAAATACGAGTGCAAGCATTCACGAAATCTGTGGTGCATTGCGGAGTAAACAGGCAGTAACACCTATGTCAGACATATATCACCACCGGGCTGGGAAAAAACTCTGTTCACACCTGGATGACGGTGCAACATGGAGCAGGAGCCAATCTGAAGTGAAAATTTGACGATGATTGCACAGACCCCCTGCCTCAGCACTTATTCCAAGTGCGTAAGACTAACTACATACGACTAGCCCCTGTTTGTGGAGTGCATTAGGCGTTGATACATGGACATAAACAAGCACTTGTATCAAATTGACCTAGTGAGCAGGTGTGAGCTCTTCCCACGCGTGTAGTGCGAAGATGCGCCAAGTGACTGGGGGAGGGTTGCTTGATGGAGTTCTCCTCCAGTTCTGATTGCATCTGTGCTACGCTTATCATGTCCAGCATCAGGTGAACATGAGTGCTATTGCCCTGAGGAAATGAGTGTCATCAGGTTAAGTAGTTATAAAAACTTGCCACTCGTGCATGTGATCATGTCCAAGAAGTAAAACTCAACAGAAAATGCAGAATTGCGTGCTTCAGAGCAAAAGCATCTACATGCAATTTGTCCCACTGCGTTCGGCAACACACCATAAAATGAGACACGTTCTCTCGTTACACAACACAATTGGTTGTTTTATAGGTTAACAAACCGTGGGAACACAGCCCCATTAGTTTGTGCCCCTAAGTACGCGCTGATAACTAATTCCGACTGTTATCTGTTCGCTGGTAATGTGCTTAACCTATAAGTTAACCATGTTTATTTGTCCTCAGCATTTTTAAAGCACTGGCAAATTACCGTATACGATCTTTAGTGGAACACATTATCGTCGATGGTTCCAGCAACGTCCTCTCAAGCTGAGCACAATTATAGAAATTAAATGCTAGGGCTCAAATCGGTGCATGCTTGGCCGTCGGATGAACACAGTCGCACGTCTACAATGCGTGGGTGCGGAGACAGTGACCGTGAGAAACAAGAGTACATTCGTCTATTTCACGCCTTGTATCACGCTCATATCCAGTTATTCTAGTATATTTGCGATTGATAAGTGACAATTTTAATCCGCAACCAACCAAGTTTGTTCAACATACAAAGGCCGCAGCTACGAGGACGGAAGTGAGAGAAGCAGATTCCTGTGAATTCGACTGGAGAATCCAATGTCCACTCGGGAAAAGGTGAAAAACATCCCCCTCAAGTTACTGTGCTGGTAATGGGACTCTCCAAGGTCCACTCCGGAGTAATTCACCACTCTAGTTTTACCTTTAATTGGATCCAAGTACACAACATGGAAGCTAATCGGTGGTACACGTCTGATCTTACAATCGCATCGGCCTCCTCGATGGATCAATGAAGGTCACTTATAACGCTTGAAAAGTGAAAATGGTGAAAGGAGCTTACAGCAATTCACTTGTTATGTTAATATCTACAAGCAAATATCATATCCTCATGACGAGCTGGTTCAACAGTAATTCTTGAAAATAAACTTACTGACCTTTACTTACAATGCCAAATGGATTTGGCTGAAATAGCACAAGGCCTTTTGAATTAGAATGTATATTCAAAAGTAGTGGAGCATCCAAGGTAGGTCGTAGTAAGCTGACGCAGGTTAGTGTAGTCAAAAGTCGAAAATGTATGAACATAGAGGACCTTCATGAATGAGCTTTTTCGGGATCAGTTGAAATAACGCAGCTTATCGACGTGCAATAACCAAAAATATGTAGATCAGGAGTTAGTCCCAGTTTATGCCGCTTATTCCCTTGGTAACCGTTGAGTATTTTTTACTGGATTTTGTAACGACTGTAAAAATTACTAATGGAATAATACACATTTATTGATGCGTGGACGTCCACCAACATTTCAAGATAGTCAAATAAGTGTCGCTAGCCTCTCAATATACTCATATAATGATCAACTTCAAAGCTTCCCCCAACCGTACACATCAGCAGTAGAAGCTGGCAAATATTACGCAGTGGCTTTTCCGGCCAACGCCCAGAGCTTATCCACTCGATACTAACAGTCAAAATAATCTCGTCACTATACTGTTGGTTGTAGTGAGACAAAATTTTTAATGATCGCGACCGTTTTCGAAAATATGTGTATCAGCGTATGCACAAGTGAGATTTCACTGCTTGCTGTATACTGCATGATTAATTAACGAACTTACTATTTTTTCCGTCATAATTTGATACTAACGGAGCGCAAGTGTGTCATACCCCATAAGGGTTCTGGACCCCCCCCCCCCCCCCCCCCCCCCCCCCCCCCCCCCCCCCCCCCCCCCCCCCCCCCCCCCCCCCCCCCCCCCCCCCCCCCCCCCCCCCCCCCCCCCCCCCCCCCCCCCCCCCCCCCCCCCCCCCCCCCCCCCCCCCCCCCCCCCCCCCCCCCCCCCCCCCCCCCCCCCCCCCCCCCCCCCCCCCCCCCCCCCCCCCCCCCCCCCCCCCCCCCCCCCCCCCCCCCCCCCCCCCCCCCCCCCCCCCCCCCCCCCCCCCCCCCCCCCCCCCCCCCCCCCCCCCCCCCCCCCCCCCCCCCCCCCCCCCCCCCCCCCCCCCCCCCCCCCCCCCCCCCCCCCCCCCCCCCCCCCCCCCCCCCCCCCCCCCCCCCCCCCCCCCCCCCCCCCCCCCCCCCCCCCCCCCCCCCCCCCCCCCCCCCCCCCCCCCCCCCCCCCCCCCCCCCCCCCCCCCCCCCCCCCCCCCCCCCCCCCCCCCCCCCCCCCCCCCCCCCCCCCCCCCCCCCCCCCCCCCCCCCCCCCCCCCCCCCCCCCCCCCCCCCCCCCCCCCCCCCCCCCCCCCCCCCCCCCCCCCCCCCCCCCCCCCCCCCCCCCCCCCCCCCCCCCCCCCCCCCCCCACCCCCCCCCCCCCCCCCCCCCCCCCCCCCCCCCCCCCCCCCCCCCCCCCCCCCCCCCCCCCCCCCCCCCCCCCCCCCCCCCCCCCCCCCCCCCCCCCCCCCCCCCCCCCCCCCCCCCCCCCCCCCCCCCCCCCCCCCCCCCCCCCCCCCCCCCCCCCCCCCCCCCCCCCCCCCCCCCCCCCCCCCCCCCCCCCCCCCCCCCCCCCCCCCCCCCCCCCCCCCCCCCCCCCCCCCCCCCCCCCCCCCCCCCCCCCCCCCCCCCCCCCCCCCCCCCCCCCCCCCCCCCCCCCCCCCCCCCCCCCCCCCCCCCCCCCCCCCCCCCCCCCCCCCCCCCCCCCCCCCCCCCCCCCCCCCCCCCCCCCCCCCCCCCCCCCCCCCCCCCCCCCCCCCCCCCCCCCCCCCCCCCCCCCCCCCCCCCCCCCCCCCCCCCCCCCCCCCCCCCCCCCCCCCCCCCCCCCCCCCCCCCCCCCCCCCCCCCCCCCCCCCCCCCCCCCCCCCCCCCCCCCCCCCCCCCCCCCCCCCCCCCCCCCCCCCCCCCCCCCCCCCCCCCCCCCCCCCCCCCCCCCCCCCCCCCCCCCCCCCCCCCCCCCCCCCCCCCCCCCCCCCCCCCCCCCCCCCCCCCCCCCCCCCCCCCCCCCCCCCCCCCCCCCCCCCCCCCCCCCCCCCCCCCCCCCCCCCCCCCCCCCCCCCCCCCCCCCCCCCCCCCCCCCCCCCCCCCCCCCCCCCCCCCCCCCCCCCCCCCCCCCCCCCCCCCCCCCCCCCCCCCCCCCCCCCCCCCCCCCCCCCCCCCCCCCCCCCCCCCCCCCCCCCCCCCCCCCCCCCCCCCCCCCCCCCCCCCCCCCCCCCCCCCCCCCCCCCCCCCCCCCCCCCCCCCCCCCCCCCCCCCCCCCCCCCCCCCCCCCCCCCCCCCCCCCCCCCCCCCCCCCCCCCCCCCCCCCCCCCCCCCCCCCCCCCCCCCCCCCCCCCCCCCCCCCCCCCCCCCCCCCCCCCCCCCCCCCCCCCCCCCCCCCCCCCCCCCCCCCCCCCCCCCCCCCCCCCCCCCCCCCCCCCCCCCCCCCCCCCCCCCCCCCCCCCCCCCCCCCCCCCCCCCCCCCCCCCCCCCCCCCCCCCCCCCCCCCCCCCCCCCCCCCCCCCCCCCCCCCCCCCCCCCCCCCCCCCCCCCCCCCCCCCCCCCCCCCCCCCCCCCCCCCCCCCCCCCCCCCCCCCCCCCCCCCCCCCCCCCCCCCCCCCCCCCCCCCCCCCCCCCCCCCCCCCCCCCCCCCCCCCCCCCCCCCCCCCCCCCCCCCCCCCCCCCCCCCCCCCCCCCCCCCCCCCCCCCCCCCCCCCCCCCCCCCCCCCCCCCCCCCCCCCCCCCCCCCCCCCCCCCCCCCCCCCCCCCCCCCCCCCCCCCCCCCCCCCCCCCCCCCCCCCCCCCCCCCCCCCCCCCCCCCCCCCCCCCCCCCCCCCCCCCCCCCCCCCCCCCCCCCCCCCCCCCCCCCCCCCCCCCCCCCCCCCCCCCCCCCCCCCCCCCCCCCCCCCCCCCCCCCCCCCCCCCCCCCCCCCCCCCCCCCCCCCCCCCCCCCCCCCCCCCCCCCCCCCCCCCCCCCCCCCCCCCCCCCCCCCCCCCCCCCCCCCCCCCCCCCCCCCCCCCCCCCCCCCCCCCCCCCCCCCCCCCCCCCCCCCCCCCCCCCCCCCCCCCCCCCCCCCCCCCCCCCCCCCCCCCCCCCCCCCCCCCCCCCCCCCCCCCCCCCCCCCCCCCCCCCCCCCCCCCCCCCCCCCCCCCCCCCCCCCCCCCCCCCCCCCCCCCCCCCCCCCCCCCCCCCCCCCCCCCCCCCCCCCCCCCCCCCCCCCCCCCCCCCCCCCCCCCCCCCCCCCCCCCCCCCCCCCCCCCCCCCCCCCCCCCCCCCCCCCCCCCCCCCCCCCCCCCCCCCCCCCCCCCCCCCCCCCCCCCCCCCCCCCCCCCCCCCCCCCCCCCCCCCCCCCCCCCCCCCCCCCCCCCCCCCCCCCCCCCCCCCCCCCCCCCCCCCCCCCCCCCCCCCCCCCCCCCCCCCCCCCCCCCCCCCCCCCCCCCCCCCCCCCCCCCCCCCCCCCCCCCCCCCCCCCCCCCCCCCCCCCCCCCCCCCCCCCCCCCCCCCCCCCCCCCCCCCCCCCCCCCCCCCCCCCCCCCCCCCCCCCCCCCCCCCCCCCCCCCCCCCCCCCCCCCCCCCCCCCCCCCCCCCCCCCCCCCCCCCCCCCCCCCCCCCCCCCCCCCCCCCCCCCCCCCCCCCCCCCCCCCCCCCCCCCCCCCCCCCCCCCCCCCCCCCCCCCCCCCCCCCCCCCCCCCCCCCCCCCCCCCCCCCCCCCCCCCCCCCCCCCCCCCCCCCCCCCCCCCCCCCCCCCCCCCCCCCCCCCCCCCCCCCCCCCCCCCCCCCCCCCCCCCCCCCCCCCCCCCCCCCCCCCCCCCCCCCCCCCCCCCCCCCCCCCCCCCCCCCCCCCCCCCCCCCCCCCCCCCCCCCCCCCCCCCCCCCCCCCCCCCCCCCCCCCCCCCCCCCCCCCCCCCCCCCCCCCCCCCCCCCCCCCCCCCCCCCCCCCCCCCCCCCCCCCCCCCCCCCCCCCCCCCCCCCCCCTCCCCCCCCCCCCCCCCCCCCCCCCCCCCCCCCCCCCCCCCCCCCCCCCCCCCCCCCCCCCCCCCCCCCCCCCCCCCCCCCCCCCCCCCCCCCCCCCCCCCCCCCCCCCCCCCCCCCACCCCCCCCCCCCCCCCCCCCCCCCCCCCCCCCCCCCCCCCCCCCCCCCCCCCCCCCCCCCCCCCCCCCCCCCCCCCCCCCCCCCCCCCCCCCCCCCCCCCCCCCCCCCCCCCCCCCCCCCCCCCCCCCCCCCCCCCCCCCCCCCCCCCCCCCCCCCCCCCCCCCCCCCCCCCCCCCCCCCCCCCCCCCCCCCCCCCCCCCCCCCCCCCCCCCCCCCCCCCCCCCCCCCCCCCCCCCCCCCCCCCCCCCCCCCCCCCCCCCCCCCCCCCCCCCCCCCCCCCCCCCCCCCCCCCCCCCCCCCCCCCCCCCCCCCCCCCCCCCCCCCCCCCCCCCCCCCCCCCCCCCCCCCCCCCCCCCCCCCCCCCCCCCCCCCCCCCCCCCCCCCCCCCCCCCCCCCCCCCCCCCCCCCCCCCCCCCCCCCCCCCCCCCCCCCCCCCCCCCCCCCCCCCCCCCCCCCCCCCCCCCCCCCCCCCCCCCCCCCCCCCCCCCCCCCCCCCCCCCCCCCCCCCCCCCCCCCCCCCCCCCCCCCCCCCCCCCCCCCCCCCCCCCCCCCCCCCCCCCCCCCCCCCCCCCCCCCCCCCCCCCCCCCCCCCCCCCCCCCCCCCCCCCCCCCCCCCCCCCCCCCCCCCCCCCCCCCCCCCCCCCCCCCCCCCCCCCCCCCCCCCCCCCCCCCCCCCCCCCCCCCCCCCCCCCCCCCCCCCCCCCCCCCCCCCCCCCCCCCCCCCCCCCCCCCCCCCCCCCCCCCCCCCCCCCCCCCCCCCCCCCCCCCCCCCCCCCCCCCCCCCCCCCCCCCCCCCCCCCCCCCCCCCCCCCCCCCCCCCCCCCCCCCCCCCCCCCCCCCCCCCCCCCCCCCCCCCCCCCCCCCCCCCCCCCCCCCCCCCCCCCCCCCCCCCCCCCCCCCCCCCCCCCCCCCCCCCCCCCCCCCCCCCCCCCCCCCCCCCCCCCCCCCCCCCCCCCCCCCCCCCCCCCCCCCCCCCCCCCCCCCCCCCCCCCCCCCCCCCCCCCCCCCCCCCCCCCCCCCCCCCCCCCCCCCCCCCCCCCCCCCCCCCCCCCCCCCCCCCCCCCCCCCCCCCCCCCCCCCCCCCCCCCCCCCCCCCCCCCCCCCCCCCCCCCCCCCCCCCCCCCCCCCCCCCCCCCCCCCCCCCCCCCCCCCCCCCCCCCCCCCCCCCCCCCCCCCCCCCCCCCCCCCCCCCCCCCCCCCCCCCCCCCCCCCCCCCCCCCCCCCCCCCCCCCCCCCCCCCCCCCCCCCCCCCCCCCCCCCCCCCCCCCCCCCCCCCCCCCCCCCCCCCCCCCCCCCCCCCCCCCCCCCCCCCCCCCCCCCCCCCCCCCCCCCCCCCCCCCCCCCCCCCCCCCCCCCCCCACCCCCCCCCCCCCCCCCCCCCCCCCCCCCCCCCCCCCCCCCCCCCCCACAACCCGAGGTCCCCCCACCCCTCCGGTTTTGGGTCCCCCGCGGATCTTACAATCGCATCGGCCTCCTCGTTGGATTAATGAGGGCCCCTTAAAAAGCTTGAAAAGTGGAAACGGTGAAAGGAGCTTACAGCAATTCACTTGTTAAGTTAATATCTACACGCAAATATCATATTCTCATAACGAGCTGGTTCAACAGTAATTCTTGAAAATAAACTTACTGACCTGTACTTACAAAGTCAAATGTTTTTGGTTGAAATAACACAATGCGTTTTGAATTAGAATGTGCATTCAAAAGTAGTGGAGCACCCAGGATAGGTCGTAGTAAGCTGACGCAGGCTAGGGTAGTCAAAAATCAAAAATTTTATGAACATTGAAGACCTTCATGAATGAGCTTTATCGGGATATGTTGAAGTAACGCAGCTTATCGACATGCAATAACCAAAAATATGTAGATCAGGAGTTAGTCCCAGTTTATGCCGCTTATTCCCTTGGTAACCGTTGAGTATTTTTTAGTGGATTTTGTAACGACTGTAAAAATTACTAATGGAATAATACACATCATTTATTGATGCGTGAACGTCCATCCACGTCTCAAGATAGTCAAATAACTGTCGTTAGCCTCTCAATATCCTCATATAATGTTCACCTTCAAAGCTTCCCCCGACCGTACACATCAGTAGTGGAAGCTGGCAAATATTACGACGTGGCTTTTCCGGCCAACGCTCAGAGCTTATCCACCTCATACTAACAGTCAAAATAATCTCGTTACTATACTGTTGGTTGTAGTGGGACAAAAATTTTAATGATCGTGACCGTTTTCAAAAATATGTATATCAGCGTATGCACATGTGAGATTTCACTGCTTGCTGTATACTGCATGATTAATTAACAAACTATTTTTTCATCATAATGTGATACTAAAGGAGCGCACGTGTGTCATACCCCATATGGGTTTCAGATGACTATACCGATGGGTTGAACCCACCGGCACTCCACTTTATCACTTCCAATCAATCGTCATTCGATACATTGAGATCAGCAGTCCACCGGAGAAGTGAGTAATGACAATGTCTGAGAGGGGTCGCCCGAGTCATGTGTACCCAGAGATTAGTCATTCGGATAGCACGCTGACAAAGAAGGTGGGATGTAGCAGTCTCTCTCTCTTGTCAAGAGACGTCAAAGTGGGTGAGCGGCTAAATTCGTCACCAGGATAAAGGAACGTAATTGTACAAACACCCACACCGGACGATTTAGCAGGAAACACTTTAGACATTCAAGAGATGGCTACCTGATGAAAGTTGTTTTCTTTCTCTCTGCATACGAACTCTGGAATGATATGGTGCAGAGATGGGTGTGAGGAAGAACACCACAGAAAAATTGTTACCGCGTCCTCGGATGTTTTCGTGAGACGGTTGCTGTTCTTTTGACAAGCCCTGTCACGTCTGAGCACCCTGCGACTGCGAGTACAAACAACCGGCTTGCACTTGATAAGGAAAGATAATGCGTCGCTATGAAGAGCAAACTGAGAGACGAGTAGCTTTTATTAACTTCAAATCTTACTTAGCCCGCAAAGTGTTCAAAGTCTGGTAAATCATCATGTGTTTTGTAACCGAGGCAATTTCGCAGCATTTTACAGTAGCAATGCAATTGGAGAAATATATGGAATTATTGCATAAAATCAGATTTGGTGTACGTATATAGCTCGAACCAACAATTACGGATCACACTGATGAACTGCGTAGTGCCAACAAGCGAGTGCGGCAAGTACAGTAGGATGGAGTTAGGTTGAGATTCAGTAGGTGAAAAGAAGACACTAAATGTAAACCGCGTGGAAGAAACACATAGCAATTTTGCTAAATCCGTATGTGGTACGTGAAAATGGTCGCGTAGAGACATTGCGAACGCAGTTTTCTAGGCGTTTCACTGCGTTCAGTAATGATCTTATAAACCTCACAACGACGTGTAGCCATTTTTAGCTAGTCCAATGGCCAAGTTACTAGGAAACAGTAGAGCCAATGCGACAGGAAGCATGCAGTTCACAAATTTAAAGGTTGACTGTATCCAGGCAATGGGTATCGAAAGCGTTTTATTCCTGAAGTGTTGTAACGCTAGTCCCCCTAAATTTACACAACTTTTCGGTGACGTTTATACGTCAAAATAGGTTTTGAGATTAAAACGACCCAAATATTTAATGAGTAGGCCAACCACTACCATTGAGGAAGTTGTATTGAAACAGTGCGCAATTTATCAGATTGAAGAAAAGATGTTATATTCGCAACGTGTAGAAATATCCAAATGACGCTACCAATGCTAAGTAAGCTACCACAACACCCTATATATACATCTACCAATGAAGTTGGATGGTGTGGGATGTCTTTAGATGTAAAAAAGAAATCAGAAGGATAAGATCACTCTCCATAAAACTCCCCACGATTAGAGCAAATTGTAGAAATGTTTGGTCCATTAAGTTGATAAAGTGGAGGAGGGTATACATTAAGAGTTTCCTCACGTAACAAACACTTGTTCGAACCAAGAATGGGACAACAAAGTTGAGAGAGAACCAAAGGTGAGGCTGATGAATGTTTTCTGAATGCTCATTGTCTCTTATGGGCATTGGCTAAGTGGAATATCGCAGATCAGTATCAAAACCAGCATTACGAGCTCTTTACTGGCTGCGATAATAGTGACGGTTTAACTAAACGATATTGGCAGAAGATGCCATCCCTATTAGGAGAAGGTCGATTTCGGGGAGTAACACACTGATTGTTTGAAGGTGAGGACACTGGACTCACCAACCAAGAATATCACTGTGGGAAGTAACTGCAGTGCGAAAGGTCAGTGATACAAGCGGAGTCACTGCATCCGCAGTCGTAAATACTTTACATGTAGGGGAGGTTAATCCTTTTACTCACCCAAACAATGCACTTGAGGAATGCAATAACCGTTGGTAGGGGAGTAGAACAAAATGCAGTGAAGCGACACATTACGAGGCCATTAATCAGCAACAATAATCTTATGCTAAGACTCCCTTTAACATGTCGGACCGAATCGTAGCCAATAACCGCTTGTAGTAAGACTCGTGCGGGAATAAGTAGAGCCGAAAAACAATGCACTTTTTAACTGTATTAGGCATGAAATTGTGCATATCGGAAGTTGTCTCAGTACCACATGTTTTAGTTTTGAATGTTTGGACAGTTATACGTGCGCTTATAGCAGTGATGTTAGGATGTTTACGTACAGGTGGCGCAGGTGATGCTCTCTGAGGTTGCTCCGTTCTCACGCGAGTACATGTGTGCAAACGTACGCTTGACTCACTAAAATGGTTGCGTTTGATGCGGCGTTCACTTGTATTCGCCAGCGTGACCACCGCACCTACCACACCTTTCCCTATGGGGTTCAGCAGATCCCCTGCAGGGCGGTCGCTCGTTATCGTAATCACAGCGGGAAATCTGAGGGGTAAATCTCACTTAATTCACAAGTCAGACTCGCATCAGCCCAAGCCACACATAGGTTATCACCGCCAGCCCTGCGTCGACGGTTCAGACAGCGTCAAAATTATATGTGGCTGGGCCGATACTGGCGGTGAGTGAGCAAATAATTAACGTCAAAAAGTGTGTGCATCTGTCACAACATGTATATGGTTTTACCGTGTGATCACTAAGCGATGTCTTGTCACACACCAGTTTGGATGTCTAACTCCTACGTGCTGCCTACCATCTACTGACAAGTCACTTCAAGGCGTCCACTTATCTGTTCATGAGTAGGGGTATTTCAATGTAATTATTTAATTGTTCATCGCAGTAGCTTGTAAATAATGATGATGTACCGCTGTCCCCCATGGCGCAGTGGCATAAGCTGTAGGCCAATGGTTCAAGCCACTAGTGGTCGTGGAGTTTCGGATCCTGATGGAGTCAATCGCTGCGCTCTAATGACTAGATCCAACAAGTCGAATCGACCAGATAGTGCATTTCCAAGCATGTGGAGGACTACCCGATTTGGAAGCAAGTGTGATGAATTCACAGTTAATTCATTTGTGTGTTAATCATTCAGGTACGATGTCGTCGAGGTGCCATATTCAATCGAAGACTCGGGATGAATTGTAAGGTTTCTTAGGAGTCCACTTAAGAATAAAGTGGATGCTGGAAGTTGGCACCTTCGCAAATTTTGCACCGTCGTTTAGTGCTGAGTGTAACGAAAGTACAAATTGGAAATTATCCTGCACGATCCAATAATCATATACTCATGTCTATGCGAGAACTACAAATGGTAAAACATTTTAGCGAAAAAAGTCGTTCATTGGGTATGGCGGATAGGAGTGAAGTCTACAGCGAATTTAGTAGACTCCCAACGATGCTGGGGAGAAGCGTATACCTGAAGTAAGTTACACTTACTTTCGGGAGAAATATCCACATGTGAATATATTACACTACAATACGTCACAACACTACGGTCACCTCGTTATGCATAAGTCTTCTGGTAAAGGTGATACTGCTCCCTCACTGTTATAAAGGAAAGTAAAGTGATTGGTCTAGTTACAGAAACAGGTATAAATGTAACTAAATATTCACACC